TACGCTGTATGGAGGAGGGAGTGTTAGTTGGGTCAGTTACGCTGTATGGAGGAGGGAGTGTTTAGTTGGGTCAGTTACGCTGTATGGAGGAGGGAGTGTTAGTTGGGTCAGTTACGCTGTATGGAGGAGGGAGTGTTAGTTGGGTCATAGATGACCTGGATAATTTTTCCAGTTCGACTAATTTAACTTTAAATGTGAAGTTCACTTTGAATTATCACTTGAGTGAAGAACTCTGATAGTGTTATAGAGAGACCTAGTTTTGGGTTATAGAGAAAGTTGCGTGTTGATTAATCGGAATCTGCTAAATTATTTCTGTGTCTTGTAAAATATTAACCTTGAAAATAGCACATCCAATGTTTGGATGAACAGAGGTGTAAGGCCTGCGGGGACTCCAAATGAGTGCTTTTAAATCTTCCTTCCCTATTTTCTGAGAATTTGTTTACGCCTCACAGAGTCCAAATCTGCAGTTTTGTCCGAAATGCTCAGATACTCTCTTCAAGTTGATCGCTCTGCCAGTGATTATAACAGTTACCCCATACTATAAGTCGAGACTACATGTAGGAGGTCGTAATAGAACTCTTTTAGTGCAGCCCAGCAAAGGTAGTTATATCCACAGACGGTCATTAGCATACAATAGCGTAATTAGCAGTACATACCCATCAAGTCCATTTCCCATAACTCCTTATGTTTCTTGCTAAAATCAGCCCGACCAATACAAAAGTCTTTAATCTCTATTAGACAAACATCCAAAACATTATTCAAACAATTCGAGCTCTCTCTCGCTCGCTCGCTCGCCTGCTCAGTGAGTTTACATGTTAGAGGGAGTGGGGTATAGTGACACAGTAACAGAGGGATTGAGAGCCCTGCTCAGTGAGTTTACATGTTAGAGGGAGTGGGGTATAGTGACAGTAACAGAGGGATTGAGGGCCCTGCTCAGTGAGAGTTTACATGTTAGAGGGAGTGGGGTATAGTGACACAGTAACAGAGGGATTGAGGGCCCTGCTCAGTGAGTTTACATGTTAGAGGGGGTGGGGTATAGTGACACAGTAACAGAGGGATTGAGGGCCTGCTCAGTGAGTTTACATGTTAGAGGGAGTGGGGTATAGTGACAGTAACAGAGGGATTGAGGGCCAGCTCAGTGAGTTTACATGTTAGAGGGAGTGGGGTATAGTGACACAGTAACAGAGGGATTGAGGGCCTGCTCAGTGAGTTTACATGTTAGAGGGAGTGGGGTATAGTGACACAGTAACAGAGGGATTGAGGGCCCTGCTCAGTGAGGTTACATGTTAGGGGGAGTGGGGTATAGTGACACAGTAACAGAGGGATTGAGGGCCCTGCTCAGTGAGTTTACATGTTAGAGGGAGTGGGGTATAGTGACACAGTAACAGAGGGATTGAGGGCCCTGCTCAGTGAGTTTACATGTTAGAGGGAGTGGGGTATAGTGGCAGTAACAGAGGGATTGAGGGCCCTGCTCAGTGAGTTTACATGTTAGAGGGAGTGGGGTATAGTGACACAGTAACAGAGGGATTGAGGGGCTGCTCAGTGAGTTTACATGTTAGAGGGAGTGGGGTATAGTGTCACAGTAACAGAGGGATTGAGGGCCCTGCTCAGTGAGTTTACATGTTAGAGGGAGTGGGGTATGGTGACACAGTAACAGAGGGATTGAGGCCCTGCTCAGTGAGTTTACATGTTAGAGGGAGTGGGGTATAGTGACACAGTAACAGAGGGATTGAGGGCTTGCTCAGTGAGTTTACATGTTAGAGGGAGTGGGGTATAGTGACAGTAGCAGAGGGATTGGGGGCCCTGCTTAGTGAGTTTACATGTTAGAGGGAGTGGGGTATAGTGACACAGTAACAGGGGGATTGAGGGCCCTGCTTAGTGAGTTTACATGTTAGAGGGAGT